GTGTCCCGTGGGCGTGTCCCGCAGGAGCGCTCCGTCCGAGGTGGGGGTGTCCCGTGGGGGTGCTCCGTCCGATGTCGGGGTGCTCCATCCGATGTGGGGGTGTCCCACAGGAGCGCTCCGTCCGAGGTGGGGGTGTCCCGCGGGAGCGCTCCGTCCGAGGTGGGGGTGTCCCGTGGGGGTGCTCCGAGGTGGGATGTCCCGTGGGGGTGCTCCGTCCAAGGTGGGGGTGTCCTGTGGGGGTGTCCCGTTGGAGTGCTCCGTCCGAGGTGGGGGTGTCCCGTGGGGGCGCTCCGTCTGAGGTGGCGGTGTCCCGTGGGGCGCTCTGTCCAAGGTGGTGGTGTCCCGTGGGGCGCTCCGTCTGAGGTGGGGGTGTCCCGTGGGGTGCTCTGTCCGAAGTGGGGGTGTCCCGTGGGGGTGCTCCGTCCAAGGTGGGGGTGTCCCGTGGGGCGCTCATCCGAGGTGGGGGTGACCCCCGGGAGTGCTCTCTCTGAGGTGAGGAGTGGGCTTCAGGCTCTGGTGGGGGCGTCCCTGTGGGTCTGAGGCCAAGTGCGCAGGACAGGCACATACTGGACCTCCGACGGTACGGAGCCCTGAGGGTCAGTCTTAGGAGGCAATGCCAGGTCTCTGGGCAGTTGTTGTGGATCTGGGCTTGTGCTTAAAGGACATGCTGAGTCTTGGGGTAGGGTCACCCCTGGGAAACTGCCAGATCTGGGGGGCCATCCCCTGGGGACAGTGTCGGGTCAGGGAAGTCTCCCTCAGGAGGTGCTTTGACCTCTGGGTCTCGCCTCGTGGAAGGTCATCTCAGGGTTACCCTGGGGAGGCCGTGGCCGGTCTTGGACGGGGTGGTTGTTACTGGGCGGTCGTGCCGGGTGTCAGGTGACTGTGCCCGGGGACCATGTGGTTGACTCTGGCCACTCGCCCACCCCCGCCCGTCTCCGCAGAAGTGCGTGTACTGTCGAAAGCGCATGAAGCGCGTGTCGGGCGCCTGCATCCAGTGTTCCTACGAGCACTGCTCCACGTCCTTCCACGTGACCTGCGCCCACGCCGCTGGGGTGCTCATGGAGCCGGACGACTGGCCCTACGTGGTCTCCATCACCTGCTTCAAGCACAAAGCCGGCACCCCAGCAGTGAGTGCCAGCCCGCACACCGGTGCCCCTGCTGCTGTCTGCATGCATCCCAGCCCCCCACCCACCTGTGCCCCTGTCCCATCTGCCTGCACCCCAGCCCCCCACCAGCCTGCCCACCCTCTGAAGGCCACTCTCACTCCTCCCAGGCCCAGTTCCTGCGGGCCGTGACCTTGGGCCAGACGGTCATTACCAAGAACCGCAATGGGCTTTACTACCGCTGCCGCGTCATTGGCGCCGCCACACAGACCTTCTACGAAGTGAACTTCGACGACGGCTCCTACAGCGACAACCTGTACCCGGAGAGCATCACCGTGAGCCTGGGCGGGGCATCCAGCCCGCAGACAAGTGTCAGGCGGGGTTGTCCCTCTGAGGAGGCCAGGGAAGGCCCAGGGAGGAGGCAGGAAGGGCCTTCACCCTTCAAGAGGGGCTTAGGGGAGCCATCACCCTTGGGACAGGGCCTGGCCCTCTGAGAAGAGGGGTGACGGGGGCCTCAGGAAGCACCTCTATCTCACCGTCCTCCCAGAACAGCCGTGGCCAGCCTCCCCATCTCTCTGCTGTCCTTCCCTGGGAACTCCTGCAGGACCTGAGCTCCCGCCTCCCCAGTGTCCCCTCCCAGAGCCCTCCCTCAGCATCTCACCCCTAGAGTTCCTCTCAGTGTCATCTCCCACCGTCCTCCCCCAGCACCCTGCCCCAGCATCCCTCCCTCAGTGACCGCCCCAGCATCCCTCCCCCAGTGACCGCCCCATCATTCCTCTCCCAGCACCCTCCCCCATCATTCCTCCCCATCATTCCTCTCCCAGCATTCCTCTTCCAGCACCTTCCCCCAGTGACCTCCCCCAGCACCATCTCCTAGCATCCTTCCCCCAGCCTCCCCCAGCAGCCTTCCCCCCAGCACCTCCTCAGCATCCATCCCCAATGTCCCCCCACAGTGGCTTTCCCCCAGCACCCAGGTGACTGGTTACAGACCCCAGGGCCTCACTGCTTTCTCTGTATGCAGAGTAGAGACTGTGTCCGCCTGGGGCCGCCGCCCGAGGGCACGTATGTGGAGCTGCGGTGGGCTGATGGCAACCTCTACAAGGCCAAGTTCATCTCCTCCATAACCAGTCACATCTATCAGGTGAGATGAGGGCGAGGCCGGACTGCTGCTGGCTGCGCTGTGTGGGTGGGCCAGAACCTCGGGGTCTGCTCCGTGGGGTGCAGGTGCTCCCCCATTTACACGGGAGAACATCACTGTGTCACAGTCACCAGTACAGAGGCCTTCCTGGACTTTGGAAAGGACAGACAGCCCCACCGTGGGGCTCACACTGGGTAGTTAGGGACTGGTGCCACATCTCTCGGGGTCAGTGCTGGCTCTGGGGTGGGGGGTGGGAGTGCGCTCAAATCCGGGCTTGTCCTGAAGAGACAAAGCTGAATCTCGAGGAGGGATCCTCAGAATTCCTCCTCTCGAGACACTGGTGACGTGGGCCAGGTGGAACCCCCAGTGGACAGCTCAGCTGCTCACGGAAAGGTCCACCCCGAGACGCCCTGGAAGGCGAGCCTGTGACCCTGTGAACCATCCCCACGGACGATTGCAGGGCAGCCCCGGTGCTCACGCTGCCCCTGTGTTGGCTGGGCCCCAGCGGCCTGGCTTTCCTGCCACCATGGGAACGGAGGCTCAGAGAAGTGTCAGGAACCCTGTGCTCACACAGCGAGGCTGCAGAGCTGACCTGGCTGCACTGGGCACCTCACACCCTCCCTGCCAGGGACCGCCACTCTGCCCATCTCCCCGTGGGCGCCTGGGTCCAGCCCTTGAAGGCCGAAGTGAGGGAGAGGGATGAGCAACAGCTGAAGAGGCCGGAGGGAGCCCTGGGCTGCAGCGCGGCCAAGCGCGTGGACAGGGTCTGAAAAGTCGGCAGTTTGAATCCCGCACCTCACCCCTCGTGCCCCACTCCACAGGAGGATGCGCTGGCAGTCTGCCCTGGTGGGGATCACAGCCCGGAGAACCCCATAGGCCTGTGTGCTGGCCACAGAGTGAGGAAGAGCTGAGAATAAACCAGCAGCAGGCCCGAGGGCCGAGCGCATGCGCACGGGTCCCTGGGAAGCACCCGGAAGCAGCCGGCCGGCCCGAGCTGCCCGGGCATCCCGCGGAATCCTGTCACCAGACATGGAGTCAGTCTGTCCCACAGCAGGACAGACTCAGCCCCCAGGGGACAGCCAACCAGGAGCCACCTCTTGACCCCAGAGCCAACAGAGAGTCACTAGACTCTGTAGGGACCATCTCCTGTCCCTGAGCACCTGGGGACCACATGCCGAACAAGAGCTGAGGGCAGAAACAGAGGTGCCGGGAATGTAGCCTGCAGTGTGGTGATGGATCCACACCTCACAGTCGGGGGACACCGTTGTTCTGCCGCTTGGCTAGATCAGGGGGCCAGACCTTGGTGGGGTGCTCACATGATCCGCTGGCCTTCACTTGGCCTTGACGAGTCAGGCAGGACTCAAGTCAGCAGTGCCTGTGGAAGCTCCGACAGATTGAGCTTCAGGTGCAGCTGGGTCCAGCAGCCGTGCACCTCCGTGACCTCTCAGAGTGGACACCAGTGTGGACAGGCCCTGAGAACATGTCCCCTGTACAGGTGGAGTTTGAGGATGGGTCTCAGCTGACCGTGAAGCGGGGGGACATCTACACCCTAGAAGAGGAGCTGCCCAAGAGGGTCAGGTCACGGCTGGTGAGTGCCTGCAGACCCGGGTGCAGTGTTAGGAAGCCCCTCTGAGGGCCTGGGAAAGTGGGCCCTGGCCTGGCATCACACCTGAGTGGGCCTCATCCACCAGGCCTCCCCTAGCCGGACGGCCCCCCTGCCCCCGCCATCACCCCCACTACAGGCAGAACAGGCACCGAGACACTTGAGAAGGGCTGGCTTCTAGGGAAGAAGCTACCCATGTGGTGGGAGGGTACAGAGGGGACTGCTACACACACACACACACACACACACACACACACACACACACAGCTGAGGCCTGACCGCTCACACCCAGTCACACACTCTACTGTGTACACACAGCACAGGGCTCAGCCATGTACCCCAAACACACACAGCACAGCAGAACCCTGACCGCTCACACCCAGTCACGCGCGACCATGTACACTGGACTATGCTCTCACAGCCCTGAGCACACACACCCGGCCACCCACACTCACACAGGACCCTCCTCACTTTCCCTCACGGTGTAGGCCCCTCACACACCCAGCAGAGCACACGCTCACAGGACCCTCACACAGCACAGGAACGACCCTCACACTCTTACATGGCACCGGCCCAAACACAGACACCACACACACTCACAGGACCCTCCTCACCTTCCCTCACACACCCGCCTGAGCACACGCTCACAGGACCCTCACACTGTCCCACACGGCTCAGAGCCCACACACACACACACACCCGCGAGGCTGGTGCCATCACTTTTGAGAACACCAGGTCCAGAGGGCAGGGTGGCGTATTTCACGGTGGTAGAAGGTGTGCAGAAGGAACAGTGAGGGGCCTGGAAGTTTCCTGGGGACCCTTCTCCTAAGGCCTCCTGGGTCCTCGTCCAACGGGAAATGACCTGTCCATCTCCCATGCCCAGGGGAGGCAGCAGTGGGGAGCAGGCCTCTCTCCACCACGCCTGCTGGGAGGGTGAGATGGGGGCTCCCCCACTGACCAGGACCCACTGAGAGGCCTCAGGAGGTCACTCACTGAGGAGCAGGGGCCCTAGTCAGCTCCCTGTTCACCTGGTACACTGGTCTCCACAGTCGGTCAGCACGGGGGCACCCCAGGACAGCGCCTTCTCAAGTGAAGACGTGAAGGCCGCCAAGCGCCCACGGGTGGGTGCCCCACGGACCGCCACCGTCCCCAGCGCCACCGCGGAGGACGTGACCCAGAGACCGGACTACCTGGCCTTCATGGAGAACCTGCTCCAGGTGCAGGGTGGTCCGGAGCCCCGTTCTAGAGCTTTCTAGAGCTCCCGCCACGTCCATTCCTCGACCTCTCAGCCCAGCACGGCCGCCCAGCCCCGCACCTGCTCGCGGGGACCCTGGCCTCGTCTCCCTCCTGGCCCGAGGCCACCTCTGCGCAGCAGCCGAGCGTCGGGGCCGCGGCCGGACTCAGGGAGCGGGGCCAGCGGCCGCCACCTCACTCCTCAGACCCTGAACCGTGAAGAGCTCTTCTCGAAAAGGTGCTACCACATTGCCTCCCGCGCGACCCGGAACCGTGACGTGTACATAGGCCGCCTTTGTGAAGGTCTTTCTATAAATACATACTGTTTTAAACAAACGCAAGGAAAAACGGAACACGAGATGAGGAAATAATCCCCAAAGTTGTTTTCTAAGATTTGTGGCTTTAAAAAACAAAACAAAACCCACACAGACCAGAAACGTTCTTTTTCTCAGAACTGGGATCTGCGAAGGGCGATGACAAGCGTCTCCCTGTTTCTGTTTGTTGTTGAAGTGAGCGGTGGGCGGACGTTGAGCGGGACGTGGGGCTAGACTCACCGAACCCCAGACTCCACAGCGTCCATGGCCGCCCCAGCGTGCCTGTCCAGCATCCTGGGCCAGGGGCCCACTGCACTGGGGTAGCTGGCGCCGTGTCCCGCTGGCCCGTGTGCTCACACCTTTGCGAAATAAACACTTTCTCTTCCCGTTTGCTGACGCCTTTGCTTCTTTCCCATGAGACACGAGAGACCCTCCTTCCCTGCACAGCATCCCAGTGCCTCTGGGCTGAGGGTCCCATTAGAACATGCATGGCTCAGCACTGGGGTGCCGACGCAAATGGGGTGAGGCCTGAGGTAGGGGCCTGCCCTGTTCATTTCCAGACGAGGCCTTGGCCACCAGATCCTGCTGCCCAGATGCCCCTGGGTCTCTGGATCCCCACAGCCCGCTGCCAAGATTCCCCTGAGTCCCTGGAACCTCACAGCACAATGCCCAGATACCCCAAGTCTTTGAAACCCCATAACCCACTGTCCCTGTATCCCTGGAACCCCACATCCCTATGGATTGTCCCAAGAGGTGGAGGAGGGATGCTATCCAAGGGAAGGGTCAGCTGTGGGCTCTGGATTAAAACAGATAGGCATGTCCTTGAAGGCCAGACCAGGGAGAGACCCTTTGACGTCATAGGACCACAACACCCAGTTAGCGTCCTCCTAACCAACCAGCCCTGGATGATGGGAGTGTATGCTGATTTGAAAAAGAAATATTTTTTAATATAATTTTTATTTTATTATTTTTGTGTGAGTGTACCGTCAAATCAGATCTGACTGGTACAGGAGGATATTGTCCCTCCTTCCCCGGCAGAGCATCTGGTGGATTCGAACCGTGTGCCTCTGGGATTGTAGTTGCAGCTCCTTGCCACTAGGCCACCAGAGCTCCCCGAAATATTTTTAATATGATGTTCTAACAGTACTTACATTTAAGAGGAGAGACTTTCAGAAACTGCTCATGCCAGGTGTAAGGCGAGGACCATGGGGACCCCAGCGCTGAGTTCACGGTACTGGGTAGGCTCTCTGCACTGTGAGGAGGGGGCAGTAGGAGACATGTCCACTTTTTGACCCCTCCACCTGTGAGATATCACCCACGAGAAACGCCCACAGACCACAGAGACTGCCCTGTGCTTCCTATCAGTCCCTGTGAATTAAAGGCTCTTTAATACCATGGTCCTGCCATGACCTTGGACTTTTCTGCATTTCCCTGTGTTCCTGGCTGGGAGAGAGGGGCAGGCCCCTGAGGGCTGGAGGGGAGGAAATAAGAGGTGGTCCCCTTGTCCCCCCTGCTCTTCTGCTGGCTGACAGTGCTGGGAGCCAGGTGAACATTCCAGAACCTAAGTCCATTGTCAGACCCCTCACCTCGTGGTTCGTGTCCAGCCATGGGAAGGGTTGGTGGTTCAAATCTACCTTCCATGGAGGACAGCCATGGAGGATAGGGGTTCCTATCCCCGCCTGGCTATGAGGCCCTTATGCCCCAGGGCCAGAGAGTGAGTCCCCTGTGAGTGAGCCCTGAGGCTATGGGGTACCCAGGGCCTCTATGACAGAACCCCTCACTTACCCTGGGACAAGCTGCGGCACTGACCCAGCACTGACCCTGCTGACTTTTCCAGGGTTGGTCCAAGTTGTTGACTCTTAACGTCACCCTTAACAGGCGGGACAGCTGATGACCACACCCTGACATTGACGGGCAGAGCGCAGCAGCTCTGTCCAGCCTCTCCTGCCCAGAGGGCTGGTTGCTTTCAGTCACAGCCCACCCCCCAAAACAACGATCCCCGCCCCACACCACAGTCTACCCATCTGAGCTCAGCACCCTGGACTGCTGTCCTGCCCCTGCCCTACACCTTGGTCCACCCCTCTAAGCTCCAGCCTCCCACGGCGGTCCTATCCCACCTGGCCCCGCCCGCACGGCCCACCCCTCAACGCCCCGCCCACACCACAGTCCAGCCCACCAATCCCCGCCCACACCCCTCCGAGCCCCAACCACGCCACAGCCCACCCTCTAGACCCCGCCCACACCACTGCCCATCTCCAAGCCCCGCCCCACGACGCCCACCCCTTCAGGCCACGCCCACACAGTAGCTCCTCCCCTTCTGGCTCCCCACACATCATACTCCACCCCTTCACGCCCCGCCCACACTGCAGTCTCTCCCTTCCTGGAGTCCCACTCCACGGTCCACCCCCTCTACGCCCCACCCTCATGCTGCAGCACCTGCCTGCTGGCCCCGGCCCACTCCATGTGTTCTTCCAAGTCCCGCCCCTAGGCTGCTGTCCTGGCCCGGTCCCTCTAAGCCTCACCCCTACACTGCAGTCCCACCCTCCCGGCCCTGGCCCACACTATGGCCCGTCCCTCCAAGCTCTTCCCCGCAATCCCACCCTCCTGGATCTGCCCCACACCCCCCTGCAGTCCCATCCTCCTGACCTCGCCCTGTACTGCGATCCTCCCTTATAAGCTCCGCCCCTCGTGGTACCCACACACACCCTACCCTCCTTTCAGACCGCACCCCAGCCCTTGAAGCTCCCGGTCTCCAGTCAGGCCCTCCTTGGTGGGCACCATGGCGCACTTGTCCTCTGACTGGCGGGTGAGGGGAAGTGATGACCGTGACCCCAGCTCTAGTGACAAATGTCTTTGCCTTGGGACCCTCCTGATCGGGCCACCACGATCAAGGGCCTTGAAGTCACTCTGGTGCCACTCAGAGCTCTGCAGCCCAGAGCCCAAGAAGGCCGTTAAAGGTGGGGCGGGTGGACACGCCCCAGCTGGTCTGGGACCCGGGAGGTGTGTCACTGAGCAGGGTCAGGGCATCTGCCAATCAGATCTTGTGATCAACGTAAGAGTCCAGCACAGACCCACTCCCACCCCTCCGGAGCTGGCGGGAGGGAACGTGTGGGGCCCGGAGGAAAGCGTGTTGGGAGGGAGATACCCAAGTGTGCTCACAGCTTAGGGTGGCCCTGGAGGAGGGGAGGGCGGGGGTCACCCGTCTGGAGAGGGCATTCTGGTGGAAGAAAACAGGTGAGTCCTGTGGTGTGAAGCTGGAGCAGGGGGAGAGAGAAGGTGAGTGCAGTCCATAGCGGGCAGCGGGGCAGGACCCTGGCTTTTACTCAAAGGGGAGCCCTGGAGGGCTGTGGGCAGTGGAGGGATGGACCTGACTCACTGCTCACAGCCGCCCTCTGGCTGCCGTGGGAAGAACTAGGTGGTGCCTGTGAGAGTCAGGGACCAGCATGAAGGTGACTTGAACACCGGAGGATGGTGCTGACATGGAGGGAGGAGTGTGCAGAGAAACCAGCAGTTCCATATGGGAGTGAACCCCCTAAGAAGAGACCGAGAGCCAGCGAGGGGCCCGAAGTGGTTGATCGGAAGTCACTCAGACGGCTGCCACTTTCCAAAAAGGCAATGTCTCTCCAACACATCTGTTGACGTGTCCGGCCGCGGTGGCTTACGTGGTGGTGTTATACTAGAAGCTATGCTACCGGGGTTTCAAGTGCCAGCAGGGCTGCTGGTGGAGGACAGGTTTCAATGGAACTTTCAGGCTAAGACCAGGAAGAAAGGACTGGCCATCGACTTTTGTAATAAGGGGCCCTTGGACACTCTGCAAGGATCAGAGGAACATTGTCTGATATAGCACTGAAAGGTGAGATCAGGTGTGGAGAGTGGACGGTCAGAGAGAGAGAGAAAGGCTGTCAACAAGCTGCACGGACACAGCGTCTATAACGGGGCTTGGGCTCTGTAGAGAGTGAGGTTTTGTCCTGTTATGTGTGAGGTCACTGCAAGTCACAGATGACAACATCTAATAACAGCATCCCACCTCCAAGAGCCCAAAAGCTGTCCCACGTGGACACAGCAGCCGTGGCCAGGCCTGGTGCTGTCCGCACAGAGGTGCCCTACCCCAGGCCAGCACATTCTCTACAGGATGGACCTTCAGTTGGCACTGGCTCCCGAGCCCAGCTCTCCAGGTGGCCAGCCACGCTGCGAGCCCTGCTCTTTCCATGACTTTCTAGAACCTTGTCAAGCCAGCCGTTCGGGACAAGCCAATGCCGGATGCAGCCAGGCCCAGGAAGCCAGGCGGGACTGAAAACAAGCAGTTTGTGCATGTTCCACTGTGTACAGCTGACAGGTCTGTGTGCAGGGAGGGGGCAGGTGTCCTGTCATGCCAGTCTCGGCGCCAGGTCCCAGCAGGGGACACAGTGTCAGTCCGCCTGGTTGAGGTCTTCTCTTTCACTGACCCTTCACCTTTCCAAGCATCATGTCCCTCTCCAAGGAATAGCGTCTCCTAGCAACATGCCCAAAATATGCGAGACGAAACTTTATCATCTTTGCTTCTAAAGAGCATTCTGGCTGCACTTTCTCCAAGATATACCTATTTATTCTTTTGCCTGTTTACTCTTTTGGCCATCCCTGGGATGTTCAACACTCTTCTCCAACACCACAGCTCAAAGGCATCAACTCTTTCCATCATCCTTATTCACTGTTCAGCTCTCAAATGCATAACAAGTGATCAAAAAACATGGCCTGAATCAGGTGCACTTTAGTCAAACTGACATCATTGCACCTCAAAAATCTGAAAAAGAAAGCTCTGGTGGCCTGGTGGCAAGAAGCTGCACTGCAATCCCAAAGGCACACAGTTCTAATCCACTAGATGCTCTGCTGGAGAAGGAGGGGCAATCTCTTCTTGTGCCAGTCGGATCTGACTCGACGGCATGCAACAACAAAGAAAAAAACCCAAAAATTGGAAGAATCTGTTCTCGAAATCAGTATATTTGATTTTTGTAAATAAACTAGTATTTAAAAAGAGAGAGAGAGAGAGAGGTTCCAAAATGCAGACTTTCCCAGTGCAATGCATCTCCTGATCTCCTGACTACAGATACCAAGGGTGTTGATTGTGGATCCAAGAAAGATGAAATCATTGCCAAACTTCAATCTTTTCTCCATCTGTCTATTTTTATGTGACAGCATTAAGAAGTAGAAACACAGCTTAGGCATGTGCCCTGATGTGAACAGATGAGAACAGAGGCAGAGAGAAAGAGTAAGCTGGTGGTTAAGATGTTGGAGAAGTTCCTCCTCAGGAAATAACATTTAAACGCCATGCTTCGTGGGATAGTATGTCAGACAGCTGCAGCTCTGGGTCCATCATGTTGGGTCCAGTGTCCTCTTAGAACAAGACACAGCAGCCCACAGGCTATGAGCCACATCTGGCTCTCCACTTGCATTTGTGAATAAAGTTTTATTGGTACACCAAATGCCCAGTCATTTGCTCATGCCTGTTTTCACACCGTAAAGGCCGAGCTGAGTCATCTCAGTGGAGACTGATTGGCCTACAAATCTGAGATTATTTAATCACATGACTTTTCACAGGAAAAAAATATGCTTATCCCGGAGTGGCAGTCAGGTTCCTGCTGGTGAAGCAGCTTGAGCTCCACACTCAGCCTGAGGTTGGCAGTTCAAAGGCACGCAGTGGCACGATGGGGGGAAAGGGCTCGCTCTTTGAAGACAGCTGCGTGGAGTTCAGTTCTGCTATTCGTTCCCGGGTGCACCATGGTCCCCAGGGTGACAGCTTTGTCTCTGGAGGGCGAGAGGTGGTGGCTTCCACATTATCTCTACATCTTTGACGACATTGTCCTCCCGTCGGGGAGCTGGTCCCTCACTGGTGAGGCTCACCTCGTCTCCTGAAACACCAACCAACCCAACCCACCGCCGTGGTGTTGAATCCACCTCCTAGTGACCCGGCTAGCTTCCCGAGGCTGTAAGGCTTCATGGGAGGATGCTGCTGGATTCGAACTGCCAGCCCTTTGGGTTCCAGGCCACACTGTGCCACCAGGTGCCTTCCTTCAGCCCTGCACAATGGTGATCCCCTTGGACTGAAGCACTGACACCTTTGAGCTGTGGAGTTGGCAGCAAGTACAGACCACCCTACAGCCAGCGGAAGAGACTCATCCGTCGTGGGGAGGTGCAGCTGGAGCGACGGGGGTCTCGGCACTCTGGGCACGTTGGTGGGAGGGTCCCATCCTTGGAGGAGGACAGCGGGCTGAGTAAAGGGTAGGTTCAGTGAGCAGGAGGAAGACCGGGCCGGGGAGGGGGGCTGATGGCTCGGTGGCTGCAGAGACACTAGGACGGCGGGCACCTGGTCTGCACCAGGCACACAGGGTCAGCTGCTTCAGCAGGACACCCTACACCCCACCCCCGCCACCGCCAACCCCGGCCACCTCCACCACAGGCTACCCCCCAATTCCAGCCACCTCCACCCCCAGCCACTGCCACCCCCAGCCACCCCCACCCTGGGCCTCCCCCAACCCTGGCCACACCCACCCCTGGTCACTGTCACCCCGGGGCCACTCTAACCCCTGGAACTCTCCCACTCTGAACCACCCCCACCTCGCAGGCCACCCCTACCCTACCCCTGGTGACCCCACCCTGGGCCTTCTCCACTACCCCTGGCCACCTCCACCCCGGGCCATCCCCACCCCCCACCCCCAGCCACCCTTACCACCCCCAGCAACCCTCACCCCGGGCCAACCAAACCCTGGAACATTCCCACTCCCAGCTACCCTCACCCGCACCCTGACCACCCCTACCCCGGGTCACCACCACCCTTGGTCCCTATCACCCCGGCCACCCAACTCCTGGAACACTCCCACCTTTAGCCACCCTCTCACCCCACAGGCCACCTCTATCCTACCTTCGGCCACTCCCACCCCAGACCACCCCCACCCCTGGTCACTCCCACATTCGGCCACCTCCATTCCGGGCCACCCCATCCCCGGCCATCCTCACCTCCTCACCCCCAGCCACCCTTACCACCCCTGGCCACTCTCACCCCTGGTGACCCCCACCGCGAGCCACCCTCACCTCCGCCCCCCCCCACTCCTGGCTACCCCCGCCCCTGGCCACTGTCACCCCCGACCACCTAGGGCCCTGCAGTGAAGGACACAGCTGCTGGTCCCCGTCCCTCCCTGCAGTCTGTCGCCCTGGCTTGGGTCCATCATCACAGCGCATGGTTTTATGGGTGGACCGCGGCCCCGTGCACCCCGCCACCACCACTCCACTTCTCAGACTCCTCCTATCCCTCCCACGTGCCCCCTCCTCCAGCTGCTCCACAGCACGGAGTCACAGCCCTGTGTCCCCCCCCGAGCTGGCAGCCACTCTCAGCCACGGACACACCTGGTGGCCTGGCACCGCACTGGGGACCTTGATTTGTGGATGAAATGGATGTCGCACGTTTCTGTGCTTATGCACAGGGATGTGACGCCACCGTGCTGCAGGCTGGCCGGGGCTGGCACAGGGCAGGCGTGGAGGGGAGGATGGCAGCCAGGGCCACGGCAGTCAGTGTCAGGACAGGTAGGCGTGGAGGAGAGGGTGGCAGCGGGGGCCATGGCAGTCAGTGTTAGGACTGGTAGGCATGGAGGAGAGGGTGGCAGCCGGGGCCACTGCAGTGTCAGGAGAGGTAGGGATGGAGGGGAGGGTGGCAGCCAGGGCCACTGCAGTGTCAGGACAGGTAGGCATGGAGGAGAGGGTGGTAGCCGGGGCCACAGCAGTGTCAGGACAGGTAGGGATGGAGGGGAGGGTGGCAGCCGGGGCCACGGCAGTCAGTGTCAGGACAGGTAGGTGTGGAGGGGAGGGTGGCAGCCTGAGCCCCAGCCGTGACAGGACAGATATGCCCTCTCCTGTCCTGAGTGCTGTGTGCCTCCCTCATCAGGGACCCGTCCTCCAAACTCCACGTGACAGACCAACCAAGAGATGTGAGTGATGTGTGGAGGTTGGAGTCCTGGTCCCTCACGGCCCCGCAGTCTCAGGTCGGTCATCGCTCCCCTGTGGAGCACACAGGTACTGAGGAAGGAAGGTGACAGCGGGCACGTGCTTTCCATCCCGTCGCGGTGTCTGACTCTCAGGGCCACCAGAAGCTGTCCAGCATGAGGCCACCTCAGCCTGGAGGTCAGCCCCAGCCACGCTCTGGGTGAGAGAAGAGAAGCTGCACGATGAAGCTGAGTGGCCGGGCTCACCCTGCTCCTATTTAGAGCCCCCTGTGGCTCCAGGCCATGGCCTTTGTCATCACTTGTTATGCATCAGAGAGCTGGACAATGAGGAGAGAAGATAGAGAGTTGATGCCTTTGAGCTGTGGTGCTGGAGAAGAGTATTGAGAATACCATGGATTGCTAGGAGAACAAACAGATTCATCCTGGAGAGGGTTAAACCGGGCTGCTCCTTGGAGGCAAGGATTCTGAAGCTTCGTCTGACATACTTTGGAAATGTTGCAAGGAGGGACCAGTCCTTGGAGAAGAACGTCATGCTTGGGAGGGTAGAGGACGGCACAGGAGAGGAAGACCCTCAATGAGATGGATTGATTCTGTCACTGGGGTAAAGGGGGTAGGCATGTTGGAGACAATAGGATTGGCAAGGGATGGAGCAGGGTTTAGGGCTGCTGTACATAGGGTCGCTATGAGTCACAAGTGACTCGAAGGCACATAACAACAACAACGTGGCTCCCAAGTGCCCTGGTCTGGCCTCCACCCACCAAACTCAACCACCACCAGCTCCACTCAACAGCCAGCCCTGGATCTGCTGGAAATGGTCCCCCCTTCCCTTCTCTCAACCTCTGAACGAGGGTCAGGAGCTGACTCACAGACGTTCCCAGCGCTTCCTCTCACCACCAGACCATATTCTGCTGTCACCTGGTGGATTTTCAATTTTAGATGTTGATTGCCAGGCCTTTTTTCCTCGTCTTAGTCTGGAAGCTGTGCTGGAACTTGCCCACCATGGGTGACCCTGCTGATATTTGAAATGTTGGGGGCACGGCTTCCATTGTCCCAGCAACACGCCAGCCCCCAGGGTGGGCCTGAGGGGGAGACAGGGAAGTCCTAGAGAAGCAGCTGGGAGTCAGGGAGACAGCGAACGTCTTCTGCTTCATGCTGCTGCCGTTGTGAAGGGCCGCCATGTCGAGTGCGAGTCAGAGCCACTCCACCACCAACAGACCTGAACCCCGAGCCCACTGCTGCAGTCGCTGCGCCAGTCCATCCCGTTGGGGGTCCTCCTTTCTTTCCTTGACCCCCCACCTTTCCAAGCATGATGTCCTTTTCTAAGGGGTAGTTTCCCTGAGCAACGTGCCCAAAATATGTGAGGCAGGTCACCCCACATAGCTTGTACACCCCAGTAGAAGGGTTCCCCTCCTGTCTCTTCCCTGACGTAAGCTGGAAGGTGGCAAGGAGGACGTACTGGGGGCCGAAATGCTGATTTCTCTGACAACGATGAAGGCTTGGTCTCTTTCCAGATGATTAGAACAGGCCTTCAAACCTGTTTAAGACGAGTCCACCACGGCCGAGCGACAGACACTCGGACACGTGGCACAGCAGCAGGGTCTCGCCACCCAAGTCAGACAGGACGGGAGCCCGGAAGCTGTCCTGCCTTTTCAAGGCCCAGAAGAAGAGCCCTGCATACCGTTGGTGGTGGCACTGGACCGGAGTGAGGCTCTGAGCAGCTCATCTGAACCCTGTGCTGTCCTCAACCCTCCTCACTGTATCTGCCACGGCCCAGCCGCTGCTCCAGTCACACTATCCAGTCATCTCGTGGAGGGCTTTCCTCTCTTCCGCTGACCCTTCATCTGTCCAACCACAATGTCCATTCCCAAGAACTACCCTCACCTGACAACGTGCCCCAAGCAGGGCAGGTGACGTGTCCCCCTCTCTGCTCTGAGGGGCACCCTGGTTGCACTTCTCTGAGACAGACGTCCTTGCCCTCTCGGCTGTCCACGGGATGCTCAGCACTCTTCTCCAGCGCCACAGCTCGAGGGATCGATTCTTCTCGTGTCCTTGTTCATCGCCTCACTTTCAGAAGCACAGGAAGCAGCTGGGAAGACCTTGGCCTGAATCAGGCGCACCTTGCTCTTTGAACAGCCATCAGAGGAAAGACAGGTAGTTAGAAGCCACCAGGTCGTTCTGACTCATAGCATCCTCGACAGGACAAGCCCTCTCGGCACTGGCTGCTGCGGTCCTGCTGTCCGTCCTGCTCCTGCAGGACTGTCCTCTTTCCTGCTGATGCCCTACTTTTCTAAGCGTGATGTCCTTCTCCGGGAACTGGTCCATCTTGGTAACACGTCCAAGGCACATAGACGAAGGCTCACCAGTCCCCCTTCCAGGGAATGTTCTGTCTGTATTTCTTCTGGGACAGATGTGTTTGTTCTCCTGGCAGTCCGTGAGAGATGTCCAGTGGTCTTCCCAGCATCACAGTCCTGCGGCCTCCCTCATTGCATGCATACGAGGTGACAGATTTGAGTAAGGTACACCTTAATCCTTACAGTGACATCCTCAGGGAGCTCTGGTGCCCTAGTGGCAAGAAGCTGCACTGCAACCCCAGAGGTACGAGGTTTGAGTCCACCAGATGCTCTGCTAGAGAAGGAGGGGCAATCTCCTCCTATGTCAGATCCGTTTGACGGTACACACACACAAAACAGTAATTTTTTTTAAAAAAGGGACATCCTCCCTTTTTCTCCCTTTAAAGAAGTCCTTGACAACAGATTTGGCCAATGCAAGAAATAATTTGATTTCTTGAATGCTGCTTCCACAGGTGCTGATGGAGGATCCACATAAAAGGAAATCCTTGTGGGAGTCAACTTGAATTGAAAAGGAGAAAAGAGAATGGAAATCCTAAGTCTCTGTAAATTTTCATTAAAATTAATTTAAAAAAAAGAAAAGGAGAAAAGAGCAAACAATAAATACTGGTGAGGTTGTGGAGAGATCGGAACTCTCATTCACTACTAGCGGGAATATAAAAAGGTCCAGCTATGATAGGTGGTCTGGTGCTTTCTCAAATGTTGAAACCAGCAATCCCACTACTGGGAATATACTCTAAAGAAACCAGAGCCATGACTCAAACAGATGTATGCACACCTGTGTCTATTGCTGCGTTATTCACACATTTAAAGAGATGGAAGCAACCCAAGTGCCCATCAACAAATGAAGTCAGAGAAAAACGATGGTAAATTCACACAATGGAATATTATGCAGCACTGAAAAATAATGCACTCATAAAACATACAACAAGAGGAAGCCTGGAGGACATTGTGCTGAGTGAAATATCTCAGACAAACACTGCGTAACACCACTGTTATAAAATAAGACAGATATTGGGGGGTATTGAGGAGAGACTAAGAAAAGAGTGAATAAATAATGAACACTGCATTAAAACAGATAAGGGGAAGAACTGTCTGGAAGGAATCTATGATTTGACATTATATGTATGACAATAATCTGGAACAAAGGGTGCATGTTGTTGACGAGTCTTCCTCCAAAGCTGATGCCACATTCTTCTTCATAGAGCTTCTCAAATTATTTGCTCACTATACAGATTGAACTGATAGAAAGGATAAAATCCTGACATACACTTTTCTTGATTTTTTAAACAGAGTATTTAATATTTGAAATAGAAAATGTCATCATACTATAAGCTAAAACAAAATCAAATACATTAAATTGTATAACCACAAAATCCCTCAAGAAAACATAACCAGTCCCAAAATCTGGTTTAAAAATACTGACTAGCGATTGGAGCCTGACTAATTGTGATGTTTGTGAGTGAAGAGCTGAATTTCTGAAATAACAGAAGGTCAGTCTTTCTCCTGGGGGAATTTTTCTGTCAGAAGGTTAAATATTCTAACATTCAGGTTTTTGGATCCAAGTTATACGTGTATGAACTGAATGGAACAATTAGAGATAATTAATAATATTTAAAAATACAAATTACAAGAACTATTGCTACTTAGGAAGCATCGGTGTCTTAGTGCTAAGGAGTTGTGCTGCCAACCCAAAGGCACATGGTTCGAATCCATCAGCTGCTCCGTGAGAGGATGGGCAATCTCCTCCCACGTGATTAAACTGCCTCTGAAAACCTGCTGGAGCTTCAGCTATGGGTCAGATCCAAG